CGAGATTCCAGATCCGAGATTCGAGATCCGAGATTCGAGATCCGATTCTCGGGGTCCGAGATTCGAGATTTCCACACTGTATCCGGCCTTGACAACCGTGATTGTTGCTTGGTTGTCCTGCTCGAAAAAAATGTCAACATTTGACTCTACCAAGGTCTCAAGCATCAGATGTAGGTGCAAAGTTTTTCCGAACAATGCTCCTGCCAATGCTATCAGTTCGGCTTCTGTGGTGCTTCTTGCAGTTGAACTTTGTTTCTTGCGCGGTGCCTGTAACCATTGTCACGTTCGATCTCAATTCTTGAGAAGTTTGCCGATGCATCCAATGTTATTAACGACATCCTTGCTACTGTATCGGCGCTGATCCATCCTTGACCCGCTTTTTGTGCGCGGCAACTTTGATTTGGTTCGAAATTTCGCTGCTTGGTGAGAGTTGTCCTTGTATTAAATTTGCAAGGTTAAATCCTCGACAGAAGCCACCTCATTCGAGCGTTCGCGCAACGCTCTGGGTAATGACCTGCTAACGCATGTCGACTCACTGGTCACTCAGAGCTCCAACAATATCCGAACAATCGAATGTAAGCAACGTGCATATGAGTGCCAAGCTGTCACTTCAATGGCTCTTGTGTTCCTGGCGGCCGCGCGTTGAGTCCTCTCATTGGCACAGTCACCATGGGGTATCGGTATGGGCTCTCAGAGTGTCACAACTTGATCTTTCCCCGGCCATTCAAGACTTGCCAGGTAAAATCAGGCCACGATTCAGGCATGTCAGCTGTGGTGGCCCATGCCTCACGTTCATTAAAGTCTAACCACGTTTTTAGCCGTTCAACAAAAATTGTGCAGTGTGAAAGATTTTTGTTTATTTGCTAAGGCTCGGGCATGCCATGATGTAAACAAGGCAGTGTATTAAATACATTTTAGTACCGTCCCCAAATAAGTGGGAATTTTGCAATCGGAGAATAAAGTGATTTGCAGGTTCAATTTGGATCTGTTGGAATATCACAAGATCCGCAGTAGCTCGGTTGCGACGGTCTGCTACAGTTGCAGACCCCACCTCTTTGGCCAGGTCACAACAAGTGCAAGCAGTCTATTTCAAATTCAGCCTTTGGATGACGCCCATGAATATCAAAGCAGTGCCACGCAGTGCTGAATTCCAGATACATTGCCATTTTTAGAAGACAAACAAACAGTTCTGCGGCTGTTGCTCAGTTGCCGCTGATGCTGATGGTGAGGCGTTGCTAGGGCTGCTGTTGCATGGGCCATTAAGACCATTGTCGTTGTAGGCCAAACCTTCTAGAAACCTTGCAAATCCAGATTCTGAAGTCAAAAGGCGTTTGCATGTTGGGGGTGGAAAACCTTTTTTGACCAAGGCTGCTCACGAGGGCGACGCTGGAGCATTGGAGATGGGCCGGGCATCCTGGACCAACCAAACAACATATTTTGGCGCGCGTCTAGTGAAGTCGCCATATTCACCAACTCGACAACCCTGGCGCAGAACGCTCGCTTTTGAGACCAGCTAAGCTAGACCACGTGACGTGACCGCATACACTGTGCGATTGGACGCGCATGGGTTCTTGAGTGACATGGGTCCACGCAGCACGCTTTCACCAGAAGGATTTCGCCATTACAAAAACTTTACTTGATTCTGGTGCAGTGCCCACACATTCCGGAGAGGGATTGATAAAGAGAGTTCCCAAAGCACTGAATGCGTTGTTCTGGCTGCTGCAAATTTGATGGCGTCTGAGAACGCTTGAAAACAAAATGCTTTGCTCAGCCGATTTGCGCGCGGGCCTTTGAGGCTTAACCAGCGAATCTCACTTCAGCGCTTGCAGCCTCAGCTTTCTGTCCCCTCCAGCGGGGCCCACGTCGATGTTTCCGGTGAGCTGTTTGATTGCCAGCCGTGTGAGCTTTTTGAAGTGGGCAGGGCCCCCTGACTTTTGACAGCCAAGCACTTTGCCTAGGGCCCAGAAGTTTCTTTTTCGGCTTGAGGTCACCATCGTCTCGCCTGACTTTGCTTCTTTGACCCGGGTGGCTTGCCTAATCAGCGAGGAACCAGTGTGGCTTTGGTCAGGTGTTCTTCGGGCGAGATGTTTCAATTTGTGTTTTTGACGGGAGGCGTGTCTCAACAAATGCATTCGCACGGGGCCACCCAGGTGCAGAGACAGCAGAAAGTCTACGAGGCGTTGGGGGGCGTGATGCCCGGAAACCCAATCTCTTGTGGGTTTTTTGCGTTGGCCCACAGCCAGCTAGTGATTGATGCCTCTATTTTGAACACTAAGGCCTCGCATCCACGCGCTGTCGCTCGTGACTCGCACGCCTGAAGAAACTGATGATGACGGGCAGTAGTCTGGCCGGGGCGAAGCCCAGTGCCTGTGGAACTTGATCTGCTCACGGCTCACAGAATTGAAGCCTGTTGGACATTGAAATTGTTTCTGGGCAGCTTGATCAACGTTCCGCTTCAAGACCCAATTCTGGCTTGAAAAGATTTGTCGCAGGCGTTATTTTAGGATGAGGTGATTTTCTTCAGCATTGAGCTGTCGGCCCTTTTCCTGGATAGGAAGCGCCAACACCAGAGCACAAATGTCAGAGATCTGAAGGGTCTACTACCCCAACCCAAACAGGATTGCAAGCCACAAAACCGTGGAACTTTGTTTCAGGTTGAAAATAAAGCCACTCGACGACTTCGGCGCACGGTTGTTTTGAGGGGGGGGTGGAAATACAATCCCCACCCCCTTAGCCTAGGAAAATGGGGCGGGCGTCAAAAAAATGTAAGTTACATTTTCGGGGGGTGGTTAAATGTATGTTAAGCCAGGTACCCCCCCCACAAAATAAGGTCCATCGTGCGATGATAACCCCTTGGGATTTTGTGGGGAATCCTCTCGGTCCGCCAGTGTGCGGATAGTGACTCTTGAGACGGGGTGGGGGTGGTTGGTTCAAGGGCTCCAATTTTTTCCAACCCCCGAACCTTTTTTTTCCAACCTACCCTTTTTTCCAGCCCCCCCAAACCCAAACCCTTTTTTCCAATCCCTCAAAATATGTTCTTTTCAACCCCCCACAATCCTTTTTCCCGAAAGCATTGCGAAGGGTTCTTCCGGAAAATCCTTTGAACACTGACACTTCGACACTTACACTTCGACACTCACACTGACACACACACACACACTGGAAGAGCGAAAGCATCGAAGTGCGAAGTA